CACCTTTGGTTTGTATACTTGAGAGCTCGTGAATAGATCATACTCGTCCTTAAAGTTGTCATCACATCCCGGTAACAAAGTGAATTCAAAGACACTGAAAGAGACTTTTAATAGTTCTTCCAATCTCGCAAAATACTCTTCACTTTGATCGAATGTTTTGTTATCACAAATGTCCATTGCCTCCTCCACCTTAGGAATTGGCACTCCGAACACCTTGTACTTGTTGGGTTGTTTCCACCACTTGATGTACACGGTTTCATCGCCCATCTTGCGATTCACGACTATCTTGTGTCCGACTTCACTCGCCAGAATAAGACACCGCTGCAGGCACCGGTTGTCATCGATATTGATATTAACTATCGTGCATCCAAGGATCAAAGGTGTATGGTGTTTGTAACCCACGAATGTGCCAAGTGGGAACATCTCGACATGGAAGCCCATCCAACTACAGTAAACATAATCACTTCCTTCCGTCTCTTGTTCCTCCACACCATTTCTGTACCACTTCAAATAATCCTCCAACCACTCGTCGATATGATCATTGCGGATGATTCGGATATGTCCCAATCGATCATCGGTGAGAGTGAGTATCTTGAGTTCCCTATCATGTGTCCACATGAGGTTGTATGTCATGATAATGATGAAACACTGGAGATAATCGCACATGCCATTCTAGATGTACTTATTTGCTATCTCATTGAACTCACCAGTCTTGTCCATCATCAAGTTAATCGATTCCACTTCCTCTTCACTCCTTCCATCCGGTAATCGAACCCACAGTCTCTTGTCATCATCGTTATTGAGGTGAAAGTCTTTCTTGGTTCATTTCTCATTCATCCATTCCTTGTACATGTTCTTATCTATGGCGTAATAATACATGAGTGCATACCCGAGTGACGAGTCGATCACGTCCGATAAGCGTCCTTCCGCGACTTTGCGAACGAACATAGCAAAGAAATTGTTGCGACGTGTTTATCGTCTCTTCTCCATCGTGTGCATGAATTCAGGCAACGGTTGTTTTCGTTAGTCACCGAATTCATGACCATTCCACTCATATTCGAAATATCGCTCGTTCTATGCCTTACTTCCCACAATCAGATACCTATGCTCCCTTCAGGTTTACTTGCGCGCCTACCCGGAGTTGTATGTTTTGTTTTCTTTGCTGCCTTCATTGACCTCGTATTCTCATCCCATACCTTGTTTGACATAAATGCTCGTGAATCAGAAATGAGCTGGTCTGTTAACTTCTCATCGATAATGTAATACTTGGCTGACAATGGCTTCTAGGTTGAGTGCCCAATTTGATCTTTCGTCCAGTTTCAGGGTTGATAGTATGTTCGTCACGATGAGTATTCATTTATATATAAATACCCAAATTGTTTAAGCCCACAGTGAAAAAATGTGTGAATTGGAAATAGTCAGTGAATTTACGACCTAGAATAGAAATATCACATGTCCATCTTCGTCATTTTCGTATTCATCGATGTCAACATACTCGGACTCGGACGACTAATCGTCCTAATCATTGTCCTGTTCGTCCACGAATATCTTCTTGTTGATTGGATCATTATCGTTCGCTTTGGCCTCCACTTTCGTCATTTACACCCATTTACCGCCTCGTGGTCTAGAGTTGTCATGGAGAAATTGGTAGTATTCTGATCCTCCAATAATCATGAACGATTGTTGGGGCAAATCATTCTCGACTTGCGAACGTACTTCGTCGTACCTGGTGGCAATGGTTTGTCGTACATGCGATTCAATTTCTCGTCGTACTTAAATCCATGCTTGAGAAGGTTCCAGAAGAAAACTCCGTTGATTTGAATTTCTCGTTTTGTATTTGGGTTCAATGTGTGAGTAGGTCTATTCATATATGTGTTTATGTCTATCTATTTATCTCTTTTAACCCTAGTTTACGCCTTGATTAAATGAAGTACAAGAAAACAGAAAACAACACATGGTCATTCCTGGTACGTACTTGTGAGGACGAGAATATCGAACTCGCCGATATCATCATTTATACGAAGTATCCGATCATTTCCGAGCGTCTATTCGGATTCAGTGTTCGTACCCCACAATCGCATGTGAACTGTGGTTTGATCCTGCACGACTATGATTGCATGGAGATGACGTTGGACGAAACTCTTCCACCCATGTTTATTGAGGAAGAGTGGGAGTATCTATTGCCTCAATTGGAATCCAATGGTCTGCTCGGTGTGCCTCTGAATGTGTTTAGGATTATTGATATACTGCCTCCTCACATCATCGGTGTAATGAGCGAGAATCGTGCTGTCTACTTCCTCTCCAACTACTATGTACGCGTGGTCTATAGAGTCGTGAATGATGAATCCCCGCCCGAGTTGTCTGATTTGTTCATCGATGATGGCGCGTGTCTGAAGGGTGTGTATGTCTAACCCTATGAACGAAATCAACCAAAGTAAATTGAATCAATCAATGTTGTACATATTCAGCAGCAATGGAAACAATTACACGTTCAAAAAGCTCGATAACATGCTCATCAATATGCCCGAGAACGACGGCAAACATGTCCTCGTGCGTGAGACAGTGGATGGTGTTCCTCAATATTCATGGATAACACCTTCTGGATGTAGTGTGAAAGTCAATAATGTCACACTGTTTGAACATACACACACATTTACTCAACCATTCAATAATCAATGCCAATTCCAATTATCTTCTGCTTTATATCTCATAATCACATCGATTTCATAGTACAATGAGAATAATACCCTATTCAAACATTGTGATTCCATCGAATCGGTTGTGGGTGAGGGATACAAGGTGAGTGTTTCAATGGATGGTGTGTGATTGATCGATGTACCATTCATCGATACATTCAACAATCTTGTGACCCTTTCCCATACCCAACTAATAAATGGAATAGATTGGACAAGTGAGAGTCATACCATCTCTTAATTCACGAATATCCCTTCTCTTGTATGTCTGGGAGGTGTGAAGAGCATCACGATCGTTTTCAAACACTTGAGCGAGGTTGTTGTTGTTTCTTCTTCTTCTTCTGGGTCCTCATAATGGGTCGATGTGATCTTGCTGCCTCTCTCAATGCATTGAGTTCCTTTCGACTCTTGGATCGAGTGATGGGTGGTGCTGGTTGTGGTTTACATTTGGTAGTCAGCAGATCCAAATGATAACACTTCTGTGTGCTATCGCTTTCAACATTCTTCACTTCGTACATCAATGGCATGAATCGATCGTCAATATCAACAACTTCAATCAAGTCCTGAGACCATTTGCTCGTCAATGATCGCTTTTCCAGAATGCGAGGTCTTCGTGTCACTCCAACATAATCACCAACATCGAATTGAGGTGTTGTGTCCTTTACTAACATGTTGGATGGTTCTGTTTTCTCCGTGTACAAGATGTTGTTGTTCCAAATGTCCGTGGGTGCATATCCGGTGTCTCTGTTCTTCCTTGCATTGTGTCTACGAACTGCACCATCGATCAAATCAAACCACACACCTTTCCATTGATTGAATGGAACCATAATGTCTTCCTTGATATCTCGAATTGCTCGTTCGGCTAGTACTGCCTTATTCGCTGAATCCATGTGATACATGGTGATGTCATACTTGTCCAAGATGTTTGTACGAAAGATGGCATTGGTGAACTCGGTACCTCGATCCGAGCAACTATGTTTTGGTGATTCACCATATGTTTGAATGATATCCTTCATTGCATGAGTGACTTCTGTGGCACTCTTGCTTTTCAGTTTCCGAGTCATCAGGTATTTCGAATATTCATCAATACATACAAGGACATATTTGTATCCACGATTCTTGTAGAATCCAGTACTTTTTTGTCTTCCTAATACTTCCTGTATCGATTTGTGTTGTTTTGAATAGAAATCGATAAGATCGATGAAGTATATGTTTCGTTTGAATTCACTGATGATCACTCGAGTGGCACCTCTTCGTTTTGCTGGTTTCCATAGTTCCTTGATCTCATTTATGCTCCCCACACACCTCGATAAATGAATCACTTTATTCAAGGAATGAATAAGTTGTGTCAGAGAAAGAATCACAAACTGGTTATAGATTCGAAATGCATTTTCTCCACTATACACTACTTCAAATAGAATATCACTCGCATTCAACATTGCAATGATCGTTTCGATATCATATATTTCGTGAAATCGATAGAGTATGGAGACTGGATCCAAATACACTCATAACTTGTAGCCATTGTGGAAATTGAGAACGTAGTATTAATCATGGTGTTCAGAATGGCAATGATTTCAGTCAGTGTATAATAACCAGGCGAGATCGTTATCCCTTCACCATTGATATTTGTCACCACATTGATTGAGTCCACATTATTGAACATGACTTGATTGGGTTTGGATAGAACAGTCATGGAAGTGATAAATGGATTTCTGAACTTGAAAGGATTGATCCAATCGAATGAACCATTGATAGGTGAACTTGTATGAGAATGGAATAACGCATGTTCTCTCTTAACCAAAGACCCTTATGACTTGCACAGACAACAATAGATGGATTTGTGATGACAATGTACACACATATTGGCTTTCAGCTATTAGAAATAGGCAAACAAACATGAAAATACAAGAGAAATAGCAATAATTTACTTTGGCTTCCGCAGCTTGAACTAAAGTATAACTGGTGCAAAAAAAGGGTAGAAAATCGGCCACCAAGTGTCACAAAATAAGTATAGTGCAATTTCTCATTTTAATGGAAAAACCACAAACATAGAAAGCCCAGGTTAGCAAATGAATAATGGAATAACCCACCATTGACAAGTATTTATGGGGTTTTGATTTAGTTTGCAGCATCAGGCATAACATGTAATTCTCCTATTACAGGCAGCATGTTTCAGTTTCAAAGCTTTGATCCTCTCACTCACATCGTTATGCTTCTTTTCTATACTTTCTTCCATTATTACTTGATAATCGATCCAACAAACAAAACCATTTATCTTACAAAGTATTCAATTCATATTCTTCTATTTCTTTTCTTTTCTTTCTTTTTCTTTTTTCTTTCTCCTCCTTCCAACTATTTATCTATCTCTATTTCATCCTATTGTGTATTCTCTACATTCCACCAATTCCCCATTCATCCATCAGTCCTTTTCGACACTTCCATTTGTACCATTTTCCCACGTTCCATCCAGCCTTTCTTTCCACATATCAATTCCGTCTACGCCGTAGCTCACAACTAGCACACATCCATTCACACTCCAGTTTACTCTCCATACTGCTTCCGAATAGCTTTTATTCAGACTTTGTTTCCACGTTTTACCACATTTCCGCGTCCAAACCAGTACTTGTTTGCTCTATTCCTTATTCCACTCCATTGCTCTTCACTCTTCCACACGATGCGATTACATCCGTCGAATCGCCGATCTGCGGGCTCCACGCCACATCTCGTACTCGATCTTTATGTCCTCTCAGTTTCGACTCGAATTCCCACCCGTTTTCGACCGATTGTCCACATCTATTCCTCGCTCCACACCAATTCTCTCACTCCATTATGTGCACATACCCATCGCCGCCTCCGATCGCTACGCGCAGAATATTCGCGTTTTCCGACGTGCCCGGACGGAATGGAGCCCAGCTGATGCAGTTGCAGCCCAGTTGACAAATCATCGTTTGGGTTGTTCCCCATTCCCATTCATCTCCATAACACACACTCAACACTTCCATACTCTTCTGATATATACACGACATAGAACCATCGCTCGATACCGCTGCGAGACAAGCACCATATTCATAAGGCGACCAACACACAGAGTTCACTAAACAGATATCACCAAAGTCCACACAACTCACTTACCAGATGCTTTATGTCCTTCATATGTGTAAACGACCGAATAGGAAGTGTCTTCAAATTTGAAAATCTTCACACTTCCATCATAACTACAAGAAGCCAAAAGAGATCCATAACGCGGATGAGACCATGCGATTTTCCATACAGGTCCGGAGTGTCTTCATTTTAATAGCAAACACGACACAAACTCCTTCAAAGTAAAGAGGAGTTCAGGAACATCCTGATTCATTGAATAAATACGAATTGTACAGTCTGAAGAGCAAGTGGCGAGTAATTTGGAATAATAGTCTAGCTGGACATCATTCTAGAGTAAATGGAACGAAATAGACGAAACAATCATATCTCCATTTTGTATATCAATAGAGATCGAGGGTGGCGACATTTGTAGAGAAGAGTAAAAGGAATGTGAGGAACAAACAAGAAAGTCATAATGAGAGTGCTGTTTAATGGGATCCAAGAGATTCAATTCTTGCTTGGAGAAGATATACGGTAGTATGTACCTAAAAAGACATAACGACGAGTGAATGCGAGTGTACTTTCTTACATAAATAAGCGCCATAAGTCCGAGTGGGAACAGCACTGCGGTATTAACAGAAGATTTGAGAAAGAATAAAACGACGAGGAGCAGGACTTGGACGATGGTATAGAGGTTAATTCTTCGCAGAGGCAGCTAGAATAAACTCGAATGCAGCAACTGCAACTCTCTTTCTGTAGTCGTCAATGTAGAGATTCCGGTCCATGAAGATGAGTCGGATTCCGGGGAACAATCCATCCGAGATGAAGAGCGACGCTCCCATGTACAGCAAAAGTCCGTAGAAGAGTCTAGTGTGTGAGCCAACGATGGGATCCCACGCCTCCGGGATCACGGACAAGGCTCGATCGAAGAAGAAGACGCAGTAGAAGAGAACGCCCAGCACGATCCCGGGCACCCGCGTCTCGCTGACCTCGATGAATCGTTCGTCGAAGACGCCGTAGGGCTTGTAGACGTCCTCGATCACCGACAGCGCCTGCAGGTGGTAGAACGACCGAATGTACATCGCGCTCACCCACGGCATGCCCAGACACGACATGACGAGCGTGATCACCGCCGTAATCGTAGTGTCCAGATAGTCGTACGGACCCCCTTTCTTCAGATTGTTTTCCGGTTTCTCGATGAGTCCGCTCGTTATGTTGTCCTCCAGATACACCAAGATCGTGTACGGAATCGCGGGAAGGATCGTCGCAAACACGGCCCACCACGGAAACACGCAGTGAGACACTTCGGCCAGCAGATCGGTGGAGTACGGACAGGTCTGGACAGACGCCGTTTCGTTTCTAAAGAATCCAAACAACGCGTGCGAACACATACAACGTCCAGTCGTTGATAGCGAGCGAGGGATGATAATGGAGCGGGTGAATGAACCAGGGACGCTCCTGGTAGGAAGGGACCAGACTCTGCACATTAACGAGTCCAGGCGAAACGACCGATGGAGACGGCAGGGAAATGGGCGTGTAGTGAAGACTGGGAAAGAGCTTGTTCACTAGTAGACCCACGATCACGATCGTGAGAAGTTGGGATCCCAACCGGATAAAAATCCGCATTCCCTGTACGAGAAACGTCCTAGAAATGAAGAGCAGAGCGGAAGAAAACGTGGATTTGATGTCGGAAAGTATTTCCATCGTGAAGAGGGTCAGAAGAATCACGAGAGCCGCGAAAAGGAAATACGTCCAATCATGCGTCGGGTCTTCGTGTCTATTCGCTAAGAGGAAGCCCGATCCAAACGACTGCGCTGCCTCGAAGTCGTGCTGAACATAATGGAAGACTTCCACGATGAACAGCACGCTGGTTAGGGAGGAAAAGATGTGCTTTGTGAACGAGGTGATCGGAGGAAACTAGAGCGGATAAAGAGAAATGGGGAAGAATGCACGATTTCCGCCTTGTTAAACGCGACGAGGAGAAGAAGAAGAAGCGATGTCCAAATCCCCACCCACTCATAAACCACAAAGAATGGAAGAGAGAACCGTCTAGAAGCAAAAGCGAGTCCAAATCGCAAACTACACCGAGAGATCGTACAGAACTCCCACAAAAATAGCGATCGGTCCCGTGAGTCCCATTAAAATCATCGGCTGTCCTCCCAGAAAAGCCCAAATGATGGAGGTAATGCTCTGGCCGAGGAGAGTCTCAACGGTCCCGATGTTGCCATGAGAATATTTGTGAATCAACACAGCAAAGATAAGAGTCGGACCGAGCTGGGAAATGAAGATGAGAAATCTGAACAGCAAATTCGAACGACATGTACGTTTTCAAGATCGTGTTCACTGTGTATCCATCTCCGAAGTCCGACCAATAATAGCGCGATCGGGTTGCAACATCCTTCTTCAGCCCACAAAACAACCCTTTCTTCTTTTCTTTCCCTTTCGGATGCTTCTTCTATTCGTCAGCGTACGAGACTTTCTACACTCACCCTTCTCTGGATCCTCACAGCCATATCAGCCAGAGCGTGGATAACATCTGCTCGCGATTTTGCCAGGAAAAGGTCGGAATAAAGCGACTGATCAGTAACGACCTTTGATAGCAGCGTGAACAGATTATGAGACCATAAACTATGGGATGCATCCGATGAGATTATGAAAACGAATCTAGGAATCGAAGAAATCGTAAATGAAGACTTGAGTTGTTGATAATCCTGCTCTGGAATAACAGATCGCTGTGTAAGTCGCGCAAACAAAACATCGTTAAACACTTGGCTTTCTCGAACACTCTACTAACCAATCGATATCACTTCTATACTTCGATCAATAGAAATCCATTTAGGTAAACAAGACCTTTATCCGAAGCTAAACGACGCGCATCCAAACCAGAATCAACTCCTTTTTGTTTATTATATTTTGTTATGATGCCTTCCAAGATTTGGACAAGCGATTTTCCATTACTTTCTTCTTCTAACAAAATCAATCCTGAGTTCAGCAGATCGCAAATAACATGTAAATCTTCAGCATCTTCAGGGTGAGCCTATGTTCAATCCCATTCGCTTCTAAGTACGCGAGAATACATCTCTTCCTGACTGCTCCAGTTGTTGGGAACCAAATTGAGAGGGTGCGGCTGCTCTTCCACATCCCCTTCCAATACCTCACTTACATAACTATTAGCCGCAATGATTCGATTCAACTCTAGAATCGTACTGAAAACTTGCAAATACCTCCCTGAGAACTTACCGACTTTGTGTAATTGGACGAATGAATACTATCATTATCCTGCTTCGAATTGGGAGTCACTCCTCCATGTGATTTGTAATGGAGGACTATGCTGTTGATTGTCGAACTGTACTGAGAAGAACGTTGGAGGTCAAAGCTCGGAGAACGTGACTCAACCTCGGAAAGATAGCTAGAACCATATCTATCGTCCTCATCATCATCCAGTAAACTATTTTGATCATTGTGAATAAACCCGTGTTCACTCGAAACCGACAAAGGACGAGTTGCACTAAAAGTAACGAGAATATACTACGAAGACATTTGAACATGCTCCAATTCCTCAACGACTGAAGTATCTATGCAATTTTGTTTTCTATTATCTTCTTTCCTTAGTTCTTGTCTTATAGTATCTTCGTCTCTTGATTTCTATTTTATTACAACTGGAAAGAGAGGAAACAGTATCCAATTTTTGTAAGGCGCGTTGTAAACGTATTCTATCTCCTACTGCATAGATTCCTAGTTTATCCATATATTCCTCATTGATATCGGGTAATAACGAAACTGTGATATTGTTTTGCAAGAAAGCTTGGGTATAGCTACATTTCACGTAACCCATCATGATATTACTGTTCTAGTCCGTTCTCAGCAAGCCATGTCTCTAAATCACCTTCCTCACTACTCATACAGCTAATAGATAATCGAAAATAGGAATCAAACAAACAAATCTAGCCAATTCTGCATACATGCAACATTATTCATAGCTCTCGACTTTAGACCTTCACAGCAGTCTTCGTCTTTACCTGAGCTGGCTTCGGAGCCGGAGCCTTCGCAGACTTAGCCGACTTCGGCATCGATTTCTTCGCTCCGCTCTTCTTCTTCTTGCTCAACAACACTATCAGAACAACAATCGCCACGATCACGATGATCACGACAACAACGATCAGTACAATCAACACATAGTTCACAGGAGCTTCCAACACCAGAATGTTGATCGTAGTGGTGATCGTTCCTCCCTCGTTTTTCACAGAAATCGTGTACTTTCGAGAGTCCTGCACCGTGGTCGGCTTGCCAGTGATCGCTCCAGTCGAAGGAACCAGAGTCAGACCCGCAGGCAACGTGGGGAACGAAGTCACAGTCACCTCAACGCCAAGAATCGTAGGAACAACGTTCACTTCCTTGTTCTGAGTGAGTTCCAAAGTGGTAGCACCATAATCAATACCCTGAGGAATGGAAGGATAGCAGGCAGTCACTTCCTCCGCGAACGTTCCATTGTTGCAATAACGGCTTCGAGTTCCCTCATAAAGATTCGGACACTCAGCATAAGCAATATCTCCGTTCATCGCTCCTTCAAAGTCGCCTTCAGGACGGCAATACTCATTCGAGGCGATCAGTTTGGTGAACAGATAGAAATCAGCAAGCTGGAATCTCTTCGTCTGTCCCCAGTTATCACAATTCATCGAATCGGTGTTGGAACACTCCGTAGCCACCAATCTGTACTTGTTGTACGGATTCACATTGAACATGTTGTAAAGCTTCTGCTCAAAGTACGAAGTGAACATTTGACCAGCCTTCGACTGCAGAATCGTCCAGTTCTCTCCGTCATTCGAACCATACAGAGTCCAACCCGAAGGATGGCGGTTGTTGCAGTCATTTCCAGACACCAGACCGTATCGACCGATCGGTTCACGACGATCATTGCTCCACGACCAGATCAGCTCCACACCCTCGCAGATTCCAGTAGCAGTCAGCATCTTCGTGGCCGAATTGTTATCGAATACCTTGTCCGATCCCTCGACTCCGGTCAAAGCAGGCACCGTCGTACCCGTACCATCCAGCAGCATGTACATGTTGTCCAGAATCAGAATCGCAGATCCATCGAAGCTGTTCGTCTCCTCGTTCGCCTCGTAGCGATGCAGCTCGAACGCCAGAATGTTCTCGCCCACCACCAGCCGCTCTCTCTGCACGGCCTCTCCGATCACCAGCAAGAACGGTTCGCCGCTCTCGCCCGTAGCCGCAGTATCCTCCTTCACCTCCGTATTCTCGGGGAGATTGTAGCGACGGATCTCCACTCCGTTCAGATACACAACCACTCCGGCCTTCACGTTCACAGCGATGTCCATCGAAGCGAACTCCGTCAGATCCTCGATCTGGAACTTCGTGAAATAGTACTGAGTCACACCGCTGGCCGCAGGGAACTGACCCGGTCGCTGCGTCTCCCAGTTCGAGGGAGCTCCGCTCAGAGTGTTCCAGCCCGCAGGAGCGGCCGTGCCGTCCACCAGGTAGCTCCAGTGAGTCCACTGAGGATACACAGAATACGCAGGATTGAAGTTGTACTCCTTCTCCGTCGCTCCGGCAGCCAGCGACTCCGACAGAAGCGTGCGCCCATCCGCCAGCTTCACCGTCGCCTTGTTGTTGCCCCAACCGCCAGTGCCTTGCTTCTTCAGCACCAGAGCATACGTCGTTGCAGGACGACACATCGGAATCGAGATCGAACTGTGGTCAGCGAAGTTCGAGCGCTCCTCCAATTCCTCACCAGTCGCACGATCCTTCAACACGAACGAGCACGTAGAGGCTCCCGTTTCGAACGTCAATTCAATGCTGAAGGATACCATGTCTCCAGCGCACTCCTGAACCGTCAGAGTCACCGTCGCCGTCTTCTCATCGCCCAGAGGATTCAGCGCAGTGATCGTGTACACGGTCGAAGCCTTGATGTCCGTGGGAGTTCCAGTGATCATTCCAGTCGTCGTACTGAACGAAAGTCCACTCGGAAGCTCAGGAGTGATCGAGAACGTGTTGTAATAGGAAGAAGAGCAAGTCCATCCAGGCACTTCAGCACCCGTATAGGCAGTAATCTCGCTCGGACTGAACGACAGCTCCGGAATCTCCAGCGAAGAATAGTCCTGCAACAACAAATTCCAATCAGCAAGAGCATAGTAGTTATCAGTGTCGTCCACACGAGCCTTCTTCAGAGTCAGTTGGTAGTATGTCCACGCCTTTGTATTCGAAGGCATGTAGAAGCAATACTCCGTAGAACGCGAATCGAAGTACACCTCAGACTCGCTCTTCAACTCGCTGAAGGTCTGACCATCCATCGATGCCTCAATGCTCCACTCACGAGGATCATAATTATTCGACTGAGAACTCGTTATGAAGCAGTAGTTGTTGAAATATTCGGCTCCATCGTTCGCGAACTGGATCGTGAACTTCTGAGTCGGAGTAGTCGCCTTGTACACATAAGCATAAGTCGAAGGATTCATATCGAACAGCTTACCAACCTCGCTCGAAGTAGTACCAGCCGTCGAATAATCCCAATAGCGAGGATGGATGTGCGAATCCTTCAGCAATCGAAGATGCATATCAAACTCAATCTCGATATCCGCACTTCCCAGAGTCAGCACAGCCACAGCGATCGTGTTGCTTCCAGCATTGATGTGACTGATCGCTCCCGTCACACGTCTCCAATTGTACACCGAGCTTCCTCCAGTCGGAGTCGATTCAGCCGTAAGATCGCCCGCTTCCAGATAAGAACGATAGATCTCCTCTCCGTTCAAGTACGCAAGAACTCCGTTGCGAGCCTTCAGATACAACTCAAATCCTTGAGCTCCCTCCTTCGAAGCCACATTGAACGTCGCACGGAACAGCTTCACCTTCTGCGCAGTCGTAGGACGCGAAGAAGCATCCAGAGTCGTCCAGGCAGAATCCGAGAAACCACTCGTGTACCAGTTCGAAGGAACCGTTCCATCAGCAAGATACTTGAACGAACCAGCCGAAGCAGGAAGCAGAGGAAGATCAATCGGCAACACAAACGAATCCTCACCTTCAATTGTCAGACGAGTCTTCGCCAAAACAAACGAATGACCGTCAGCAAGAGCATTAATCGTCATCAAAGAAGTACTCTGCCATGTCGTACCCGAAGAACTCGTCATCGTCACCGTGTATTCACCAACAGGCAAGCAAGTACCCACCAAACTCTCCGTGTTGCTCGATGCAAGAACCGATTGTCCTTCACTGTTCTTAATCGTCCAAGTCTCAGAGGCGGTATTGTAGTTCACCTTCTCCACTGAAACCGAAATGTAGTTGGGCAGATCGCAAGACAAAACAGTAATCGTAATCGTGCAAGTGTAGACTTGACTGTCCACAGAATACGTCGCAGACACAGTGAACACAGTTTCTTCCAAACCCTCCGTAGGAATACCAGTAATAGCACCACTCGTGCTATCGAAGTTCAGACCAGCAGGAAGAGAAGCGCCACCAGCTCCAGCAATCTGCCAGTTCGTGTAACCAAACTTACCAGGAGTAATGTCCACATTATCAATACCCACCGACCAGGAATAAACATCCTGAGGATACGAAATGCCTGGAGGAACGTAAGCAGCACCAGTGAACAGCAAATTCCACTCAGACATCTGAATAACATTACCATAAAATCCAGATAAAGATTTCACAGCATTGCACTGCCATTTGTATTTGTTATAAGCAAGCTGATTCTCCATCTCAAAGTACTTAGTCTGGTAACGCGCAGTCCATGTTATACCACTCTGAGTATCGAGAAGATCCCACTGGCTTCCATCATTAGAGCCAAAAATGTCCCAATTAACACAATCACGAATATCATAATCGTTAGCTGTCGAAAACGCATACTTGTTAACAACCAAGCGATCGTTGTTACCAAACGTCCAAATGTGAGTAGTAGGGAAAGATGCAGAAGTAACGTCCACGCACCATTTAGTAGAAGTATTTCCATCATATAACTTGGCTCCATTTTCAGTTGGTCTGTTAGGATTATCAGGAATGCAATAATAAGATCCATCAGAATCAATGAGACGATAATCTTCATTCAAATAGGAAACAATACATTGGAACTCTTCAGCACTTGGAGCACTTGAGCCAGAATGCACTTCAACACCAATAACATACGTATCGTTTTCAGGTGTAGGAATTGCAGCCAAAAGCTGAACATAAGTGTGTTTACCAGTTGTCGAGACAGTTGCTTCCGTAGAAGAGGAAATCTCTCCGTCAGGAAGATTCCATCGGGTAAGCTCTTGACCATTTACATATACAACAGCGCCACCATTAATTGTAAGAGCAACACGGATACCAAAATTATCGGTTCCAGTCATTTCAATCGAACGACGGAAGTAACGAGTCGTGGTAGTAGGAGCAGGATAATTTCCAGCATAGCTAGTCCAATCCAACTCTCCAGTAGTCCAAGAAGAGCTTGTTTGGGCAGTCGAAGAATACTGCCATTCTGCGGGAGGCCCAACCGTAAATGTCTGACTACAAGTATAGACACGATTATTATAAGAGCCGCCACAAGTCCATACAACTTGAACAATTTCTTCACCTCCTTGCTTAATGGAGAGTTTTGAGCCAGTAGTCCATCCATCTCCATAAGAGTCTCGCATTTGTACATAATACGTTCCATGAGCCAAGCAGTGATCAGTAGGATCATAAACTTTATTATCAATCATTTGTGAATTCACCTCGGAATAAATAGGTGTTCCGGTAGCAGAGGTTCCAGCATAAATGTCCAAAGACTCTTCATTAGCGTAGTTTTTTGTAGTTCGTTGGAAAGTTAAAGCAACCTCTCCTGCGGCACAATCACTCGTAACCGTGGCTAGAAATTAGGTCAAATGCCAGGATACTACAGAAAATAAACGTGCAAACCAAAGCAAAAGCAATTAGCTTCATTGTAAAAATTATATTGAAAAGCAAAACGAATGACACAAATAGATTCTGTAGTGAGTTATGTGATTGGCTATAATTATTAGTGCATCCAAAGATTACAGCATATTTTTGACCATTCGATGCACTATATCGATTTGGCCAATTAACACCATACAATGGTATTTGTAAAGAATACAATCGAAAACGAGAATGTATTGTTGGAAATAATGAGACGTTCGCTACTTGGCTTTACTTAATATTTTTCATTGATGCTACAATCAAGATCAACGAAACTTAATTGTGTTTTCTTTTCTAGTATTGCACAAATAGTATCACAATAGATCAACATCAATAGACTAAGTGTACTGTCTTCGTGGTGTAAACATATACAGTTTTTACTACCTTTGGCTATAATAATCAAATATAGGATAATAGTAATGCGTTACTATTAGTATTTAATTCCGTTTATTCAAAAAAACTATTTCGTACTTTAATGACCAATTACGTGAGTATTATAACGTAATATTATATCAGAAGTCTTTCTTTTTGCGTACAAACTGAGGGTAGCAAGTTTGAAAGATTGGTGGTTTCAATACTGTGGTTTCGTAACTACATTATTATTTTCAATAACTATTTTTCTCTCAAAATGGATTATATTTGTATTGAAAGTACTGCCTATTCTCTACAAAGGGAGATAGATTTTCTCTCAGATGAGTGGTGTTGTCGAAAATTACATTCCACTCATTCATCCGTGCAATGGACCTACAGAGGTACACTCTCAATTTGAAAAAGCCTTTCTCTATAAAACTGCCTAATAGTATCGTTCTCGATTGTGTGGAGAAAATGAACTCCAGTTTGTTGCAAGTATATAGTATTTAGATGGAACATAATTTTGGATTGAGCATTGTGTGATTCTACACACTTTAGACATCGTGAGTCCTCTGTTATTCAATTGTTCGTTTCTCTACTCTATTTATCCTCCCTACTTGCTTACTCTCCTATACTAAAGCTAGAAAGGCAGGTTAGACAGACAGCATAGTTTTCTTTCTCTTTAGACTAGTGGGAATGGGCAAAGCGTTTCGAATCGGTTATTTATATGTATATTTCGAAAAGGCCATTGTATAAAAGACAGCGTCCTTCTCTTATGTATACTCTTCAGTAAAACAGAATATAAAACCTGGTATTTTATCAGTACCATTCTTTTCTAGCGATTTCCAGTTCGTTCATTCTTCTTCGCTCTTATTTGTTGATCTTTCAATACTTTCACCCCTTTCGATCCATTCAGTACTTTCTATCATCTTCAATTTTGCTAAATCTATTATCTTGAAGCGATTTCGTTTAACCTTTGATAGCTGGGTCTTATAATATGGAATCTGTTGAAGTGTGTATTCCTCCCATTCTGAATATCTTGGTTCCTAGTTTTTCTCCGAGCTATGAGAGTATTCCTACGTCGAGTCTTCTTCTCTCCTCCCCTTTCCAATCCTCTATTATCTCGTTTCTATTACAAACACGGCAGGTAAAGTACTTTGATAGGATGGAAGCTGCAGTACCCTCAATACCCGTGTTTTCGCTTGATGGAGAGGGAATCTGGCTGCATTCCTTCCCGGACTCGATGAAAGTCTTTGCTTCCAACTCTGTGCAACTCGCTGAATTGGGACTATCTTCGCTCTTTTCGAGTTTAGAAGGGCGGTGCTTCGCTCGTTTCCCAAGCAGTCTCTCTAGCAGGCCTTTCTTTTTCTCCTTCGTTTTCTCCTTCGTTTTCTCCTTCGTTTTCTCCTTTTCTTTCTCTTCTCCCACCACTCTCTCGTACTCAACCGCTTCGTACTTCTATGATTAAAAGCAGCTTCGCCCTCTATTACTTGCCACAACCACATCGTTAGTTCCCATACCGCACTTATGTTTAATGCTCTCGGTCCTTCCTGCATCGCTGATAGCAACATCGAGATCGATTCGCACCCCTTTATCCTCTCTCTCATGCCCAGCAGAATCGATGTGCAGAGATAGGGAACCGCGGGGAAATCGGGCAGAGCGTGCAGAAACAGCCGATCCCAGAGATAGAGCACATCCTCCAAAGCAAATTCTCGGCAGAACAGAAGTCGAATCCAACGCAATAGGAACATCGAGGGGTGGATTTCCAGCATCTGAATCGTATTCGAGTCACGGAAATACAGCGAGATGGCTTCCCAACGCAGAGTCCCAGCGTCCTACCAGCCACATCACGCGATCCATGCGCGATTCCAGACTCGAATCGCTGTTGTCCGACACATAGCAGCCTCGAAGGGGAGCGAACACCGCCTCCAGAAGACAAAAGCAGTCGTGCTCCAGATACTTTGAAGAGGTCAGAATCTGCAGACACGCGATGGCGTGGCGCTGCGAGGGAGAAAGAGTTCGCCGGAACGCCTCCGCCTCTTGTCGATACGCTTGGCTCTGAAAGCGCAGATGTTCGTCCAGTACGTCTTGGGTCCGTTGGGGAAGACTGTTTTCGCCTTCGCCTCCGCCGCCCAGTCGCCACCGGTCGCAGTACAGACAGAGCAGCAGCACGGCCAGCAGGTCCGTCATGCCCTGCTTGTACCCGATTTCCGGGTGAGCGAACGCGAAGACCAGCAGCAGCCGCACGATCAGGTCCTGCACCGCCGCGCTCTTGAAGAACAGAAGCTGGCTGAACGTGCGCGTGCAGTCCTTCCGGATCGTTTGCTCGCTTGCCTGGTGCTCCGGGTCGCGCAGATCCTCGTTCCATCGCGGAGAAACACGAACCTCGCCTTCCTCCGACGCAACGTTCGGAGCAAACCGACGAGAATAGTCCCGACACAGCTCTTCGTACCGTGCGCGCAGCAACCCAATCTCGCTGCACCATTGCTCCAACGGCTCTAGATAGCACAACCATCTCGTAGCTACGATGGGCGCTTAGACAACCCAACGCCACCTTCCACACAAGGCTGCGAACTCCGCTCATCGATAGATTCGACTACATGATAGGACACACACAAAGCATCCACATTACACACAAAACAGTACAAATCGTTCGCAGAGAGCGAGGACACAATCTCCGTGTGTTCCAACTGAACGCTCAGAGACACATTCAACTAGTTCTAACTGTGCAGCACGATTGTCTACCAACGAAGGTGTTTTCAACGGAGAACGCGGACAGGAAGAAACAGATCCATCAAATTCACAGAGTAAACGCCGAATTGAATCGTCGATAGGCGACGACTCATAGGGAGTTGCCCCGTTTAGAGACTTCCCTTTCATTGCACGCAGAATACTAAGTATCCATTCTTCTGCAATTTCTACACTCTCGAAACTGAAATGCAACACTTCTTCTTGACTCAACTCACGAATATAGATCACATTCTACCGATTTACACTCAACGTCTATCATACCTCAACCACTTCGGCCACTTTTCCATATAAGCTACACTCCAAAAAACCTTCACTATCACTTTCCTTCTTCAAAAACCGTAGTTTGCAATCCCTGAATATATAGTATCATGTGAGAAACTTACTCAACCGTGGAAAATGAGAGAACGCAAAAACACTTCGCACAGCAAAATACTCCCTACATTTTACAAATATTCTTTTAGTAGACATACTGATTTTAGAAAATACACTGTTCCTTTCTTTTCTTCAACCTAGAACTAAACTTAGGGAGTCTTTATAACCATCTTCTTTATTATATATCGAAAAGCATTCACAATGGAAGAAGAAAATCGGTAGAAAGTGAAATAATACAAGGATTTGG